TGTAGGAAGGACTTTATCCAGGTGATAGCTGGTTTAGGCCACCCCATCTTGTTCATCCTCTGCAGCAGCCGTCCGTGGAGTACAGCATCGAATGCACCCTGAACGTCCAAAGTGACTAGGACTGCTTTCTTCTGCCGTTTCATTGCATGTTCTACATCGTGGATGACGCATGAGACGAGGTCGTTGGCAGACCTGCCAGTGAGTGCTCCAAAGAGTTGCTGCGGGACTGCCTTGTAGGTGAGGGCGGTGTAAGCCATTCGCCTTGCAATCAGTCTCTCGAGACCTTTACCCAGGGAGGAGAGAAGTGCGATAGGCCTCCATCCTTTAGCTGTACTGAGGTTACGGCCGGGTTTGGGGAGAAGGATTACTTCCGCTAGCTTGAAGGCCTTCGGAAAGTGATTCAATCGCAGTGAGCCCTCAAAGAGTACTCTCACTGCGTGACCAATTGATGGCCAGGCTGTCCTAAGAAGACGAACAGAAATCGCGTCTGCTCCAGGGGCTTTGTTTTGGCAGGCCGTTGTAACCCACTTGGCTTCCTCGTCCGTAACGCTCGAGACCCATGGGAGGTTTCCGCGTCCTGGCTCGAAGTCCTCAGCGTCGACGTCGTTCTGACTGGTGAACCGGCTGAGAAGGAGGTCGCGCAACTGAGTTGCTCGCTTTCCTGGATCCGAAACAAGACCATCTGGAGTTTGGAGTGGTGGAGCAGCTGATGTAGGTTGCGGCTTAGCCCAGCGTGCCATCCGATACATGTCGACGTCGGTTGTTGCTTCGGAGAACTTTCGCCGCCAGTATTGGCGTTTGGCACTTTTGACCATGCGACGGAAGTCCTTTCTGCTCTCTTCGTCCCTGTATATCCTGTATTCGCGTTTGGCCTGTAGGCACTCCGACGTCCACCAAGGTGCTGTCCTACCCTTCTTCGCACTCCCGCGTCTTCCGGTAGCCCTAATTGCATCGCTAATGGTTTGGACCAGCTTATCAGCAAGATTGTCCACCGCGTCTACTGAAGCCATCGGCTGTAGCTCTATTCCTTGAGCCCAACGGCCTAGCACCTTTGCAAAGTCTTCGAGGGCGTCGTCTGTCACTCGAAACGGTTGGCCTGTTTTGATAACAGCTCTAGCTTTCGAGTTCGGACGGGGGACGTCTCCTGCAAGAGTTCTGTGGTCCGATGTCGAGTCAAGCTCTATCGAGACGTCTGCAAGGGCTCCCGCGTTAGACCAGACTAGGTCGAGTGTGTTTCCAAGATCGTGAGTCGAGACGCCCGGGGTCGAAGATAGGTCCATACCGTGCTCGGACATCCATTTGGCGAGCACTTGGCCGTCACCGTGTAGCCTGGTGGCCATGGGCTGCCAGTCAGGGTGGACGGCATTGAAATCTCCACCAACTACTGTGGGCCCAGACGGGGCCCATGATAGGAGCGGCGAAAGGTCTGCTCCAGGAGCGCGATACACTGAGACAAACGTGACTCCTTCAACCTTTACGGCGGTTAGATCTGGTGATGCCTCGCAGATTGCTAGTTGTAGGCACTTGGTCCCTTTTCGCGTATAAATGAGGGATCGTGGCCTTGCGGGGTTGGCTGTGACATGGGGGGGCAAGTGCTTGTCGAACCCAGGATGCGACTTGGTGAGCCAGAAGCCGTCCTTGTGTTGAGTCCAGGGTTCCTGGATGAGTAGGACATCGGTTCCTGAATCCCAGGCGGATTGCAGGATGATGTCTGTAGCGGGGTCTCCTCTGCCCAAATTAGCGCAGAGGAACAAGATCGTTGTTGCCGTTGTGTGTAGCTCGGTAAGGTTGTGGTCCCTTACGGGCATTGAGCAACGTTTGTAGTTTCGTTTTCAGCAGTCGCCTCAGCGGCTTTCTGCTTTGCTTCCAACTCTCGGATCGAAGCGTTTCTTTCTTTTTGACCTTGTTCCCGGATTACCGACAGCTGGTCTCTTGTGCGTTGCACAGTCTTTCCGCCGGCCCGCGTCGGCCTGGCCATGCAGCTAGGCTCGGTTGCGGCATGCGGCCCATGGCAATTGATGCACCTTGGGACGAGCTGTTTGCACTCAGTAGCCTTGTGCTCAATCGATCCACAGCGAGAGCAGCGCTCTGCTCGTGAACAGATCTTAGTTGGGTGGTGTCCCCAGCATCGGTTGCATTTCGCAATTTTGGCTTTACGCTGAAGTTCGTTTAAGCGACCGCTCTCTTCGAAAAGTCTTTCTCTCAGCTTTGGCTTGCCGGTTGCAAAATGCAACACCCAGTCGGTTGACGGCCTAGCCATGCTTGTTGCAAAGGCACGAGCCGAGGTCGGTCTAACGCCTGTCTTTAAGGTCGCTTCCTCCATTACCATCTCCGATGTTACTGGCGTTGGTCCTTCTAAAGTGAAGAGTCTGTCTGGTACATTAGGCGCCAACACTGAGATCCAATTGGAAGCAGCTTCCAGTTTCATTTCCGTGCTCTCCAGGAGTACGGCGCCTGAGAGGAGCGCGTTTCTTGCTCCGTCTCCTTCAGCTAGTATCGCAAACCCTGAGTTGACGATGGTAACCTGCTTAATTGCAGAGTTAGCTAAGCGCAGCTTGCTTGCGAGGCTCATTTTGATGTAATGAGGAGACATGCGTCTCCATGGGTGGTCGGGCTTGACCCGCAGGAAAACACGCTCGTCTGGGCGAGCTAACTTGGGAGCTGAGGCAGTAGGCCTCGGAGTTTGTGTGGGCCCTGTCGCTTTTGACTTAGGCTCGCTGGCTGGTTGCGATTTTGTCGCTGCTGGTGGTGCGGCCTTAGTCTTTTTCCTCACTACCTGAGTCCAAGACCCCTCAGTAACGATGGGGGTTTGTATAGAATCGATGTCGATTAGCCTAGTAGGCTTTGTCGAAGCCGGCTCTTTGCCTTTCGCCTGGCTGCTTTCTCTCGTGAGTATTTGCACTGGTCGTGAAGTGCTCGCGCTATTCTTTCCTCCCGACCTAGTAGCCGACGTAGGGAGGGTTGTCGTCTTGCTGCTACTGGCAGCCTCTGATGGCCCACTGGATTGGGGCTCGGGGTTTCCGCGCAGGATGTTTGTGATAGTGGCCTGTAAAGCCTCTCCATTCTTTTCGACAGCTCGTCGGAGCTGTTTGTCGGTTGTGGCCGCCAGTAGGTTAATGTACCCACTGACGATACGCTCAGCCTCTGCAAAGCGTATGTTAAACGCCCTCGCTTCATCTGCGAGGAAGTTAGTCAAGGAAGCACCCATTGACTCGGGGGGGTTTGGGGGCGAGTATTGGCAGCTCGCCTCGCAGATCGGTTCTGCGTTTGCTTGTGTGTTGTTGTGGTGGTGGCTAGGTGGCCCTGTGAGGACCATTTCGACGTCAGGACGCGTCGAATTTACGGGTGGGAGAGGGGGCCAAGAGCCAGCCTCTGCGGAGGACTGGGGCGGCATGGCAAGGAGCAAATCAGAGAAAGCTGAACAGTAGATAATCGCGTGTCTGGCGCGTCGAGACAGTTCTTTTTGGGGGCGGACAGCTGGGGTTGCTAGCAAAAGGTGCGATGGGGTGTTTAGTGTGTAATGCATGTGTGGGTATTATGTACCAAACTAGAACTCGATAGAATAGAGATAATTGAATCAGCGAGAGACTGATGGACTGAGAGAGAACGAGCAGGTCATTTCTCGTAGGAGAGAAATGATATCACAAGGGAATGTTCTAGCACTAGGTTGTGAACAACACAGTAAGTCTGTAGCAAGATATAAGGAGGTCACAACCTCCGCCTATTCATTAGAACTAAGTTTCCTTTGTACGAGAATATAGTCAAGTATTATATATCACGAGAAAACACGCGACAGTGATTATAGAGACCTACTGTGAGCATAACTTCCCCAAGAGTATCCATTGTCCTGCTCCTATATAGCCTAGTTAATATAACATTATGAATCTATAAACCACCCTTGTATTGAAAATCAATGGAGGATTGGCCTCCACACGTGTCATCACCAATTAGATCCAGGGCCTGACAACATGTGTACCTCAACGCGACAAAGTTACGTAACTGAATAAATGACCCAACTAAAATGATAATTACAGCACTAGAGATTTCCAATGCGAAAGAATTTAGCATTATTTTTGCAATGAACATGTGTACTTCGTTGGACAGGATGCTTTACTTCAAGCTCGGGCCACCAAGACATGTAGTTGTATGAACCTGGCAATTTGTAGAAATTCAGAGTCCTTGTTTTTTAGACTTCAATAAAAGTCTAATCGAAGCTGACTTGGCAGCCTTCATTTTAGAAGCGGTAATGCTCAGAAATTCACTTTTTAGATTAGTTTTTTAATTTTGGCGTATCAATTATATTTTTGCATTCAATATCGCAAAGTTCTGTCGGGAGATTTGGTCTCGTGGGCCTACTTGAATCCAAGGTATCAAGCATTCTCAAGTATCGATAGATCTGAAGGCTTGTCAATTGGATAGGTTGCTCACAGATTCTTGGCTGATGGATGTAATGGAGAAGGCTGGGCTTGAGAAGATTCTTAACTATTTAGGATTTCGAGAGAGACTGAGCTTTGTTGCTTCCAACACGTGCTGCTCTGACGCGAATACACGTTGACTTCTTGCTGGCTGCAGTCCTCGACCTGAGTCAGGATCAAGACCCTGCATTACGTATCGTCATTATCTGGTTCAGTTGCTCCGAGACTGACAGCAAAAATGGCCGGAAAATACAAAGTCAACTTTGATAATGCTTAAATTTCTAGAGTCAAGACGCGTTTCACCCATCACGAAAATATCATGAAGACGCGATTTTTCAGGAGCAGAAATATGTTCTCCAAAATCTTGGATCCGTACGCGTTCAAAACCGACTCAGTGCGATAATGACCGAATGCACGAAAGGACGCTCTCACCCGCCAAAACATGTACCATCGGGATGACGGTAGTGCCCTAGTCCTCTGTAGTCCAAGTCTGTGCCTAGATAATGTCCCACCGCAAATGAATGGGTCAGGCCAATTTCAATTGCGTTAAATCCCTCTCCTTAAGCGGGAGTTTGGTATCTGAGGATGCCATATCCCTATAAAATAGCACTATACTCGGTCTCAGCACTTTTATGCTTTGAGCTATCTTCATTCTTTTATTGCTCATTTAGCATGCGTAACTCCGCCCAAGTCCTCACGGGCTTCCTCATATCTGCCGCCAATATCAGAGCCGAAATCACCAATGTTGCTACAGATATTAACATTATATCAAGGAACTGGGGTCATCTGAGCCCATACCAAGATAATCTCGACAACTCTTTCGGCGTGGAATACGCCGGTCTTCCTGAAGGTTGTCAGATTGTATGGTGATCTTTACAAATGAGAGTCTGCTGCTTGCTGATTGATTGCAGGAATCTGCACATACACTCCAACGCCATGCCGAGAGATTCCCCACGAGATGGATCAATGACGGCCAGAATAACCAGCGTTTTGGGGATAAGGTTACCAGCTTCACTTCTACTCACCCTGACAATCCTTTTACAGGCCCTCTGAAGTTTTTGAACTCATGGAGTCTAGTTTTTCCAGACCAAGGGCTACTCACTGGTACTGGCGCAGTTGCTGAGGTTGCTGCTGGCGTGAAGTTTTGGAATCAGTTAGTCGTCACAGAGGCTTCAATATCTAAGTTTTATCAAGCTAAATAATTACAGGTATGGTAGAACACTGTATAACGCATCTTTTGGACAACTAGCCTATAATTCAAGTTTTCCTGATGGCACCCAACGCCCGCCTCTTGTGTTAAGAACCACCGACCAGTCTCGGATGCACAATACTCAAATCAACTGGGCACTTGGATTTTTCGGATCTAGTATATCACCTGTACCAAATCCATCCTTCGAAAATGCAACCCAACCTTACGAAGTGGTTATTTTGTCTGAAAAGTCTGGAGCCAAGCTCAATAATACGCTGGCTTCTTATGTTAGCTGTCTCAACTCTGACCGCCCAGCAGTCGCTTCTATCGCTAATAACTTATACTTTGATTATCTGCCAAAATACCTTGCTTCTGCAACAGAAAGGCTACAGCATTTTGCCCCGGAAGGATTTAAAATTACAACCAATGACACTTATGCCATGCAAATGATCTGCGCTTACGAACACGCTGTGCTTGGAGCATCAGAGTTTTGTGGCTTCTTCACCGAAGACGAATGGGCTGGTTTTGAGAATAGCTTGGACATTGACTGTATGTTTAATTTCTAATGGTTCAGTAGGCCCATGTAGCTAACCGACAGATTACTATAATTATGCTTTCGGTAATCCTACTGGCCGAGCCCAAGGAATCGGTTATGTTGAAGAGCTACTAGCACGTCTCAATCATTCGTTGATCACTAGCTCCTCAAACTCGATAAACTCAACACTTGATAGTGATCCAAGAACTTTTCCAACAGATCAAGCTGTATATGCTGACTTCACTCACGATGACATAATCATTTCGGTCCTAACTGCTCTTTCCATTGACTACTTCCATGCCCCACCCAACTTTACTTTGATCACGCCTGAGCCAGATCGCAAATTCATTCTTTCCAAGATCACACCGTTTGCCGGGCGGCTCATCACTGAAATAATCGGCTGCTCTGAACCTAACCCGATTCCTGAGAAAAATGCTCGCGTTTATTACTCACCGAATCAATATGGTTACAATCCGTCATCAGCCACCCACAAGTTTGTTCGAATGCGCCTTAATAATGGTATTATACCACTTAATACCATCCGTGGAGGCTTCTGCGGCGACGAAGCAAGCGGTCGAGCTGATGGCCTGTGTGCTCTAGAAGATTTTATGAAAAGCCAAGAGAATGCCTCGGCTCTGGCAAATTATCAATACGCATGTTTTTCTAACTACACAACAGATGATCGAGCCAGTGGTTGGGACTGGGACGGAACTATCCAAACTGACGAGATCACGTCTGTAAGCTAGCAGCCTACCTCTGAAAACTTGGATCTTTTATGAAATCGGCTACGAGTCATTCTTTTGGATGGGCTTAAGTCTTCTAGGAGAATTTTATGGGCGGAAAAGTTTTTGTTTCTTGTAACCCGAGGGTGTTTCTCTATGAGAAACACGTTCAAGACAATAAAATTAGCTTTGAATTGAAGTGTAAATTAGGTCGGTTTTGAAGCTCCTAGTGCTTTCATGGCCGTATCATTGATTCGGTATATCTTATTTGTTATCCTGATTAATTTTTGTATATAGATACATGAGGATTGATGGCATTTTCGAGTAGAGAAAAATCTTTGAGTAGTAAAGCTCAACGTCTTGCAACTTTGCCTCGACCCAGCTTCACTACGAGGACTTTAAAACTACTGGATGGTAGTTTTTTTCGCAAATACTGAAACTCTTGCTGGAAGCCAAATCCCGGCGTAAATCTCTAGTCAATAATGGTTCTAACTTAGGGTGAGATTACCATAGTTGCTGCCATTTAGATATCCGTCGTTTTAGGCAACGTGCGGGATTTGTTAAATTCCTCTAGTTGACCTGGCAGGTTTGACAAGCTACCTTTTCCCAAGAGCAATGTTCTTTGCTACGGTTGCTATACGAAAGTGTTTTTCAGTGCTCGATCAGTCCTCACAAACTGCCATTGATACTGTAAAGCAATGTAGGACTTTGAGTATTTCCGAGGAGATGAACTGATTGCCTGTCCCCTTGACGAAGGATCTATCTAGATCTTGCGCACACGCTGAGAGTTCGCAATCGCCACCAACTTGAAATACGGGTTGCTCACATTCCACTCTGGAGATTCCGAAACTGGTGTTGTTGAGTCCCTCGGCGAAACAGTCGGGGACTATAGAGCGCATAAACGCGTGATATGAGATGGATCGGAATATTCGTAGTGGCAGGGTATAGGAGGCAAGCAGTAGCGAAGTGATATATCTAGAGAGTGCGCTGGCGTTCGTGGGTGAAGTGGTCTGCGATGACACGTATATTCCGGTACGTATGTCTGTGGACGTTCTCGACAAGCGGCAGTATCCGCGCTCTCATGGTAACTTGGGCGCAAGTGAAGCCAGGCTGGATCAGCTGAAGTACCATGAAGTTCACGATTCTCATCCCACCTCGGACTTCAGCGGGTGTTGGGCGTGTCAAGGTCAGCCGATGATGAGGCGGCGAAGTGCAAACTCCTCAGACTCGGCCACCACGCACCCGAGCGCTTGGCCTTGCCAATCTGCAGCTTAATCCTTCCCTACGTGTCCCACCATCTGCTCATCTCATCCAGTTACCCGCCGATACCACCTTCTCGGCAACTTTATAGACTGCGCCTCCCTCCGGCCACATTTCAGCAGGTGCCACGAAATTCTCTTTATTGCCAGGCAGATGCGTCTCATTCGCATTGGGATGGCTACTCGAAACTTGGCTGCACACAACGTAGGAATTTACCTCTGCATGTTGGATTGGGAGTTTTTTCGGAAGGCTTTGGCGGTCAGGCCTCTGTCTGATATCACCGACTGGAGCGACTTGGGATATTGAAGAGTCCGAGAAGTGGAGTGGAAAAGTGTTGATACCACCCGCTCAGAAATAGAGCGGTGTGTACTCCCAAAACAAATGGACGAAGGAAAATACTCTGCAGTCATGATGGATAATCAGGGCCTAGCCGGTATACGAGTAGCTATGATTGGTTGGCTTGGTTTCATCACACTAAGTGAGTCTCAGTCTTATTTTCTCGTTCAAAACGTATTCAGCTATCCAGCCATATCACGTTATCAATGTCATGTATACATGTTGGATGACTCTTGTGGCTTTCGAGACGCTCATACTCTGGATTCCACTAGCAAATACCACTTCGAGGTATGTTTGCTTACAAAAAAAGTCGGCCCTCATTCGTGAATACCTACCAAAGGCAAATATCAAATCTTTACCATCCATGCATACCCGCACCACGAGAGACATGGTCAAGTTTTCCGGATTTAATCAGCAGTCTCCTGCCTCGGGTAGGATAGATGCCCGCACTACTTGGGAGGCCAGCCTGGATGATGTACCAGTTGGCTATCTAACCAAGATTATTTCACTCTGTTATCTGTATTCTCGCAGTCACAGGCTCGGCATGCTCAGTGTGAGAAATCCCTACCAAATGTCGAAATTCCATCCCTGGCATCATCGCAAGTACCTGTCCTGAACTCTCACACGCCAATTCCAAGGATCTGCCTTGCCGGGATTGTCGGCTAAGATTTTTGCACTCAGGCGCGTATCCACAATTTGGTGTGTATGATGAAGCCGGCTCAGGCCCTTCACTGTTAATTTGGCGAGTTTTTCTGCATTCAAATTCATTTACATTTTGAAATAGCCCAGCGTCCACGGAATCTCTTCTCATCCTTACTCTGGATAGTTGGCTTCCCAATCAATCTAGCCTGCCTTGAGAGGACCTACTTGATCGATCTTCGAGTTGATGGTGGCTTCGGAATTGTCCAGGATCATTCTGACACTGCCACTGCCAAAACTTCTTGGGCATCCAAATGTCATGCATCACGTTACATCGGCTCCTCGCATGGCTTTCAAGGAATTCTTAATAAGATTTCTCTCCACATAGATTATATCTCTAAGCGGGTCTCAAAAGGCCACATGATGAGCCCTCCACATAGGCGCAAGTTTTGTTTAGAGAGAGAGATTGTCTGTACATGATTTTCCGAGTTCAAATTCGACCGCTTGTCCCGATACGCTGGATGGGTATTGGCGAGAGCTTTCTGATGGGGAAATTTGTAGGGTTCCTTAGCCATGGTTCAACTTCAAACACTACCCTAGAATTGCCTAAGGTAGCGTATAGAAGGTAGGAAGGCCAGGATGTTAAGCCTACTCGAACTACGATATGGCTTCCTGTATCTCTTAATTCCTCTCTAGGTAAGAAGCTGAGAGAGGACCATTGGCCAAGCCGTTGAATACATACTGCAGGCCGCAGCTGCCCCATCAGAGGATCACTACCTGGGGAATGCCAGACTCTCTTTGAAGGGCAGGATTAAGGTAGAATATCAAGCTGGTAATGCTTCTCGAACTGCCTTCTGGCTTCTACTCTCGGTGGGTTCTATGTGTCAACGCTCTGCCTATTGGAGTGGTGATACGGGAAAAGACAGGCTACTGTAGCTCTGATCTTCACAGTACCATACTCGGCGCGCTGGAATAACTATCTTCATCATAGGCCTCGGGACTAAGCGGCACTGGTCTTTGCTAACTTGACATTTAAGCTGCTTCATGTGCTGATCTTTGCCGTACCGTCCCTATGCACACGACTTGAGCCTCAGCCGGTAGTCCTGTATTGGAAGTGTCGCGCAACAAATAGGGCGTAACATCCCCGGACATCAAGTTGATTACAGCATGCCGCGTTCTACTTCCTAATCAGAGGAGACTGTGTGGTGTGAGTACAAGCATAAGTGCCAGATATTTGACACCACAATTCAACCGATTGCGGCGACATGGGGGTAAAGGAAGGCCTCAAATACACTACTAGTGTATCTACAAGCCACTGAAACGCTCCTGTACGATGCGTTTAAGGATATGTGGAATGAAGAAGGCAGTTGTTGGAGGCTAGACGAAATAGTGTGCTTCCATTCCCAACACCCAGCCATATTTCAAGTCATGTCAAAGTCCTGGGCAGCATGATACCGAGGCCTAGCGAGTGAACTATCTCCCCTAGGCCTATTTCCTAGTAATAGATGTGCCGGTTTAGCTGGATCGAAGACGTCCAGTTGTTACGGCTGCTAAGACTAAGCAATACGTAGCCTTTTTTGGCTAGCGCCGGCAAAGAGCCAATGGAATCTCTTGGAAAGGTGATTCAAGTGAGCTCGCTGGAAACATACGAAGCTTTCATGGGAGCGACCTTGTCGTGGTTCGAGAGATAGTTGTTGTAGCAACGATGTGGTTGAGAGTAGTGATTATTTACAGGACTCACGATGGCTCCATCTACACGCAGTCATCCCACTAACCGAAGCTTATTCCCACCACAACACTCTACCACGTTGCCTGGTTTGGCTAGGATATATCTGTAGATATCCTAGAAATACCACCGTCTTCATGCGCGGCTTGATACTTAAACGGTGGAGCGCTTCGTAAGGACTGCAGCTACTAGTGCCTCTATATCATATCTAGCAACATTACACATTGATAGTTATCAATCGTGCGCTGTGCTCATTAAGCTGTGTCTATTTTGGCCAGCATGGGCTTAAGGAACTGGCTGGCTCCGCGGGCATTAGGGCTGAGCGCATCGAGAACTCTTCAGGGAGTTGTGGAAGAATCAAAATCACGGAATTTATAGGGTGAATTATCGACATTAAAGTTGTTGTCGACAGTTTCCGGGCTCATAACTTATCGACTTTAAAACTTGTTGTCGATATTTTATATGTATGTCTGTTATCACCGACATTTGAAATAATTCATGAGATTGCTTAATGAGAGGCTAGTATTGATTCCGATATAATATTGTAGAAGACTTTTCCCAACTATCAGAGGGCTACAACGTCTTTATCTATCTACAGGTAAATTCCCCATATTCCAACCACGCTAGCCATACAGGACGTAGCATGTAAAGCCTGATTCGTATCATCATTTTGGGTTTGAGGTCTACCGTGCATATGCTACTCGAGTCGCATGTCTGACTACTATGCGACACGCTTAGGTATCAATCTAAAAACCCACACCAAAACCGAAACTACTCACAACCCTGATGATGACCCCATGAATAATTGGAACAGTAGCCTGCAACATAGCACAATTAGGCTAGACATCGTTGACCAGGACCTAATCCGAACAGTGAATCTACTCAAGGCAAACATCTTGGATAGGGGGACGAAAGCTCAATACCTGCCAGCGGTGTCCCCCAAGAACCTCCAGCCCTCGCTGCAGAGTCGAGATGAAGTGACACCTCTTCACCTCTCACCTGAGTTATCTTCCCTTCCATCAAAGATATGCTTGCGATAACATATAAGACGATCAAGGCAACG